ATATATATATATATATATATATATATATATATATATATATATATATTCTATTTGGGTCTGTTGTTGATTTGTTGATAATGAGAGATTGAAAATAAATTTGTAGTGACAGACATAAATGAAAGTAAGAAGACGTGTCTGATTTCAGGAACTTTATTACACGCGTGATCTCATGCCAGATGCCATTATAGGACTTGTTTAGTCTTCTCCTTACTCTGTACTTCAAACTCTTGTCTCTCTGCACCGCTCTGTCACAGCAGTGTCATAGTGACAGAAAGTAGCTACAGCGATAGAACAAAGCATACATTCATCGAGTAAATGTCAGAACGCAACAAAATTATTTGCACAACTTTTTTTAATGTGAATTAGTAATCCCATAATCATCTCTGGACTTGTCACTGAGAAAATGTAATCTCTTTGATTGAACTATTGTGTACTTGTGAAAACGTTCAGTGTCCAACAGCTTTAGTGTGTGTGCATTCAAAATCCTTTGTTTGTTAAAAAAAAATAACAATAATAATAATACTTTATTTATAAAGCCCTTTAAAACAACCAAAGTTGCAACAAAGTGTTGTACATATAAAATCAAGAACATTTAAACGCATAAAACAGTTGTTAAAACATTAAGATCAATAAAAACAATAAAACAGTGCAGAGCAAATTCAGTCTGTGCTAAAAGCCAGGGAGTAAAAATGTTTTTTTAAAAGAGTTTTAAATATGGACAGTGAAGGGGCTAGTCTGATGGGAACAGGGAGATTGTTCCCCCCCCCAAAAAAAAAGCTCTGTCCTCTCTGAGTCTTCATTCGGACCTCGGCACCTCCAGGAGCAGCTGATCAGCTGATCTGAGGCACCGAGCAGGAGAGTACATGGGTGAAGCAGCTCAGAAAGGTAGGATGGAGCAAGACCATTTAATGTATTCCAGAATGTGCTACATATGTCAATTCAACTCAATATTTTTCTGTTTCGAATCATTTAGTAGCTTATCCAAGGCCTTGTCCTCATAAGATTAGAATAATATTAATAATTATAATAAAATAAGAAGAAGAAAAAGAAAAGCATAAACTTACACCACTGATATTTTATATTTGACATTAAAGTTTGTATTTTGGGGCTAAAGTGTTAGGCATCAATAATGGTCAGTCTGCAGAAATTATAAAAACTCTCAAAAAGAAGTAAAGAACGTCTTTGTGCTTTCAATACATGCAGTGTTTTAGAGCATCCTGATGCATGCTCAGTGTTTTAGAGCATTCTCTTAGTTAAAATAAACTAAAATGTTTGAAAGATAGATCTGTGAATCAAATAATGTTGTTTCTCAGGAGTTTCACCTTCTTCTTCTCCTGCTTTTTGTAATATTTTTATTTTTATCCAGAATGTCTGCCTGCAATGCCCACAACCAAGAGCTGCAGAGAAAGGTGTCCCAGCTGGAAAAATGCAACATGTGAGTGGTTCTAAAAGTCCTGTTTCATTTCTAACCAACCTTTCCTCAGTAAAATCCTGGTAGTTTGTTACAATATCTGTCCCATTCATTTACTGCTTTTGCTGTTTTGTTTTGCTTTTCTTTTCTCAAACCCATCTGTTGTCTGTTTTTCCTCTTTTTTAATTGTTCCTCTCTGCAGGTCACTAATGGAGCAGCTGCGCAGGCTGCAAGCTATGGTCATGAATTCATCCAACAAGTCAGCTCAGACCGGGACATGCGTGCTGGTACAACTGCTGTGTCTGAAAACATTATGTTCTTTATTCAAAGAATCACCTGAACATTAAAGCAAAACAGCAACAGATCGGATTAACTGCTGAGAAAGACCATTTGCAATTTTAATCTTCACAGTGAACACAAGAGGACATACGCACAAACAGAATCTCTCCACATGATGAAAAATGCTGTTTTTATAGTGGGGAATTTAAAAAAAAGTCACTGATTGTGTTGTTTAACTCTGTGTTTCCCTTTCATTTAATTTTCCAGGTGCTCTTGCTGTCCTTCTCCCTAATCCTGTTCCCCAGCCTCAAGCCTTTCTCTGACTCTCAGGTCAGCCAAGGAGACTTCAGTCCAGTCAGAAGTGAGTAACCTTCAGAGCAGCTGCCAGCAAAGTAATCCAGCACATCTTTGTCACAGCAGAGGAAATTGGCAGAACTGCAGGCTCAGACAGTGTTGGAAAGGATTTCACCCACAGAGCCTCTCAGGCCGTTTCATATGTTTGAATATCTGCTGTCAAGCTAAGAAAAATAAGCTAACATTAAAAAGCACAGGTTAGGTCAGGTTGTTAAACTATTGCTCTGGTGCCATTTTTGATAATTGTTTTCAATATTATTATTATTAGTAAAGAAATTATCTCACTAGACTGACTTGGTAAATAGCTGAGAAAGGGCTTTTATGGTAAATGGACGGTACTTCTGTGGAGCCTTTCTATCTTATCAAGACACTCAAAGCACTTTACAACAATTTTTGCCCTCACTTACCCATTCATACAGCACTCTACTAGATCTATACAAAGAATAATCAGAGCTTTATCACATTCATACACTGATGGGACACACATCAGAGGCAATGAGGGGTTCAGCGTCTTGCCCAGGGACATGTCAGCAAGTGACTGCTGGTGGAATTGAACCCCCAGCTCTTGCATTGGAGGACGACTACTCTAACCACTCAGCCACAGCCGCCCCTTTTTGGAAGGAATCTCCAAAATGACAGAATATTTGAGGGGGTTCTCAGTTTTCTCGCTCCAGTTGCAGAGACTCATAATCTTGAGTGAAATGTACAGCAAGTTTTCTCTCAAAGTAATCGTTGAGTTGTAGTGGAGGTCTCATGCCTCTTTCAACTTTGCTGTAAGTCTCTAATATGTCTGAAGAGCAGCTGTAATTTCAAACCTGCTGACAGAAAGCATCTAAACCTACAGCCCTGAATAACTGGATCTGAAACCACACTGATGATGGTGAACAATTACAGGATTGAAAAACGAGTCACAATCTGCCAACCTTCATTTCAAAAGTGTACTCCAGTATATTAGAACATAAACATGGGGTAAATGCCAAGAGGGTAACAAAGAGGGCTGAGGCAGGTACAACATGGTCAACAGTGGGCAAGGAAATAATGTGCTCGGTCCAGAATCCAGTTTTGTGCACACATCAATAAGCCATGATTTTCAAAAATGGCTCCTTGAGACACACAGCTTGCTGGTCACTTTTTGCAAACAGTCAAAATTCAGCAACACTGCAATGAAAGTGGAATAATACTGAGTAGTATTTGGTCTTAATTCTAAGCCACCAACAAGCTTCAGTCACAGTCCAGTGAGATACTGCCTTAAATACCATGACAAAGGAACAAATCAAAATCACAAATGTGTTCAAAGTGAAGTGGACACAGATATAAAATAGATATTTTTTGCTTCCAAAGTACAATTTAAGCTGCCTCAGTTGGGGGAAAAATGTTAATGAAATTGAAGTAGAGAGAATTGTGCATTAGTTGGAAAAATGGCCAAAGGTAGGGAGGAATGAGGCTCATTGTTTTGAGAGCACCACTCTCTGGTGTCTCAAGCTGGAAATTATTTTAAATTGATAAAATAAAATCTAGTTTGAGCAGCCTTCATTTTTTTACACCTAATTTGTAATATCCTGGAAAGCTGATAAGTCATTTCAGCACACAAGAGGATGAGGGAGGGGGCAGAGCGTCTTAGAGAGGGCCCATGTTGCAAGTTTCAAAAAAGTTTTCAAGTCTTTGATGTCTTCAGGATTAAATTTTATGTGCTCGCAACGCATCCAAGCAAACACACACACACACAATTGTCCACCTGGGCTCATAAAGGTGCAATAATAAGCAGAGCTACATACTGGGCCCAAAGAGGCTTAACCTTATTTACTGTCTGCCTTTCCCTCAGTCCAGTCACGGTCCCTGCAGAACCTCCAGGCTTCCCGCGTGCTGCATGTCATTGACCCATCGTTCTACACCGAGGATAAATCGGAGCCTCTGCACCAGCATTTCCCCGAAGAGCAGGGATTGGAAGATATTGCTGCCCTGATGGGAGAGCTGGCAGTAAAAGAAGAACAGAGCAGCTTGGAGTCCGTGTCTCTTAACAGCAGTCAGGAGGACAGAATCAGCCATTTCCATGTAGACCCAATTACCGGTTACATAGCTACCGTTACTTTAAATCCCCATCGCCCTGCCAGGCTACGGCCACACGCTGATGACATGTAAGAGAAACGCAGTTATTAGCTCCACATAAATCTGTCATACTGAATGTACTGTCAGGAACTGGTGTTTACACAGACAAGGAAATTATATTTTGATCATCCCTGTTTTGCTGTTATTATATATTAAATCTGTATGGCTTTATTTTCTTACTGTTATTTTTTTTTTATTATTATTATACGAGAATGGATTTTAAACTCGCACAGAAATTGCTCATAATCAAGAAAGTCCGTGTTTGATGACATTTCGTTGTAAATTAGTGTTTTAATCTGTCAGGAACAGAGCAAACAGAGCTGTGTTGTTCTTTAATTATGATGATGATTCAAACCAGTAATTTTAGACATACTGTATAATGTTTTTGTAGTTTTTTTTTTCTTCATTTTAACCCTGCTTTTTAAAGAATTGGTTGCTATTTTAGATTTAGTGGTGGATAAAATGACATCAAATGAAAAGTTTCAAACAAGATAAGTGGATTCCAGATACTCAGTTGTTTTCTTTTCAACCTTTAATAATTAAAAAGCCACTCTAAATGTATGGTGTAACATCTTTCTTGAAATTAGTGTCTGAAAAGTTCCAATTTTGAGTGGGGTTGTTTCTCAACATGCAGATGAATGAGTAGGAGAGGACTGAAATCTGGATCAGAGGTGGGACAGATGACCTCTTTAGCTCATGAGACAGACTTCATGCTCACTGACTGACATGTAGAGATTCTTCCTCGTTGGAGGAAGCTTGTTTCCAGAGCAGTCACGCATCAGCCGACTTGTCCTTGCTGGCTTCGTAATGATTTGATGAAAGTTTTCATGCCCTTGTTGCCACTTTGGCCATAATTATCATTGACCTATGAGCTGGACAAGTTCAGGCAGATTTTATCTGTGTCTGGACAAATCTAACTTCCAGAAAAAAAAATGGCATTCAATTCTAAGATTAAATTATTTGTTGTGTAATCTACTTGACTGACTAGAGTAGTAAATTCAGAAAGATGTGGTTTTAGTTTAATTTCATTAATATAGCACAGCAAGAATGGAACATCTGTCAACCTAAAACACTGAAGACAATCCTGTATTTTGATGAAACATAATACATCAAATACATAGAAATGTATCATCATTGAAATACATTATCATTATATGCACTTTTACAAATAATTGCAATTAATTGATGACACATACAGCATGCCAATATAAAGGCTGATTAAATGAGCCCCTACTTATGGCAGGTGAGTGATATGCATTCCAAGGCAAGCAAGGAATGTTCAACCTTTAATTTTCTGAGTTTCTAATTGCTCTATAGCACTGAATTGTAATATTTTCTGGACACTGGCAAATCATTTAATGCTCTTTATGTGTCACCAATAATTCATCAGAAAGGACTAATGTTTCCGTTGCTTCCCTCCTGCAAATTATTATTGTTATTTCTTCTTTTGGCTGTTCCCTTCTACAGGGGTCGCCACAGCGAACTAACTCGCACAAAGACTTGACCTTTGTTTTTACGCTGGATGCTCTTCCTGATGCTACCACCGAGCTACCACAGCCCTCTGTGTGGAGCAGAGCGCTGCTATCTAAGGTGCCTGGGGGAGCTGATTGTGGGGGTTAAGGGCCTTGCTCATGGGCCCAGAGTGGGGCAAATGAGGCAGGTGTGGGTGTGTTCCACCTTTTCCATCCACATGGCAGACTGCTGGGAAAAATGGCCATAGCTCGGGGAGGAGTTCTGCCCAGCGTTCAGGGAGTCCTGCTGGCTAAGAGGACTGAGAGGTCTGCTGTGTCTGGGTGGACAGATTGGCATCTGCAGACAGTTTCTTCGGATTCGCTTTTGGATGGACTGTTACAAGAGATCCTTTCTGCCCAAAGCCATCAGCATCTAGAGCAACTCTAATAAAACCAGGATGATGAGCTACAACAACAATTAATTTTTCTTTGGGATTAATCAAGTATTTTTGAATTGAATCGAATTGAATGTTGATGTTGTCAGTCTGGGAAGTCGAGCGGGCGACCTTCCATTCACAGATCCACCTTCTCTTACCTCTGCACCACCACTCCCCTATAATAAATTAAATAATTGACTTTAATTTCTTTCTTTTTTTCCCCATTCAACCTTTATTTATACAGGTGAGTCTCACTGAGTCACGAGGACTCGTTTTCAAGAGAGACCTGTTTTAGACAAAACCATAGATAAGGTTCACACGACAATAAATAACAATAGAATGCAAATAAATTTAAAATAAAAAAGTAGTGTTATTAAACAAAATCAAATCAAGGTTCTATATAAAACAAGATAAAATACAAAAAAAACTACAAACAAGAACGTTTGCTTTGATTTTTCTATGAAAGTAAGCACGTAATGTAGCGTAAAGTTTGACTGACTCATTTGACTTTTTATGTCTGATCCCCAACCCTTACCTGTGTTTGTTTGACTCTGTCCCACTTTGTCTTTAATCAGGGTGAAAGTCTCGCCGCACCATCAGCTTTTCTAATCAGCACCTTAACCCATCTCTTTGATTATCAACTTTCCCACAGAGCTGCGAGGGAAATGCACATCAGCCTCCACTGAGATTGGTGAGCCATAAGGGCGATGGCGTGTCAGTCAAAGAAAAGAAAAACTCTTCCTCTTCTTCTTTTTTTAATCTTCAAATTGGCTGTTTTTTCTTTCAAGGTATAACACTTAATCAGAAAGTGCCTGGTTTTTATTTATTTATTCTTGTCTGGTGGAATATTAGAGGTAAACTAGAAACTTTTGTATTAACCAAATTGCTTTTCCTATTTTAGAGAAAGAAGGTAACTAAAAAAAAAAACATCCACTCAGACTTGAGTGCTCATGTTTTAATCAATACCTCAGAAAAGTAAATGAGGTTGGGTTTTTTATGGAGGTATGGGGGGATCCCAATACTAAACATGTTCACAGAAGAGACGGGTGCAATTGATTTTACTCAAACGGTAGCAAAAATAAAAATAAAGTGAAAAGTAACACAAACTTAATTCAACACACATTTTACATTCACTAATAAACATAAAACTAACATGTAACAATTTCACAAATGTATTTAATATGGCTTTTTCTTTCATATTGGTTTTTGGGTCACAGTGGTGTAAAAAAATATGTAGCAGACAAGGTTGCAGGACTTCATGCACTTGGGGTCCACTGTCCAAGAAAATGGGGAATATGGTAAAGAGGTGAAGAAGACAGGTGAAGAGGTCCAGGCAGGATGGAGTGGATGGAGAAAAGTTGCAGGAGTGATTTGTGACAAAAGGGTGTCAGCAAAGACCAAAGGAAAGTTCACAAACCAGTTGTGAGACCAGCTCTGTTGTATGGTCTGGAGACAGCGGCACTGAACAAAAGACAGGAGAAAGGACTGGAAGTGGCAAAAATGAAGATGTTGAGGTTCTCCTTAGGAGTGACAAGGATGGATAAAAGTCAAAATCAAGGTCAAAGTGCCAAATAATGTCATTTCTGTTGAAAATGTTACAACTAAATTGTATTGTATCCAGTCCCAGATGGGATTAGGAATGAGACCATCAGAGGTACATCACAGGTTGAACAACTGGGAGATAAAGTTGGAGAGACCAGACTGAGATGGTTTGAACATGTCCAGAGAAGGGACAGTGGGTATACTGGTAGAAGGATGTTAGAAATGCAGCTGCCAGGAAAAGGAAAAAGTGGAGATATATGGAAGCAGTTAGAGAGGACATGGAGGTAGTTGGAGTGAGGACAGAGGATGAAGAGGACAGAGTGAGATGGAGGAGGATGACTCACTGTGGAGACCCCTGAAGAGGGAACAGCTGAAAGACAAAAAGAAGAAACTTTCCATATCTCAGTCTTTGTTTTCTGTTTTCCCTCGTTTCCTACTTCACTGAGAGTTGAACAAACTTCAGCCAAGTGAAATCTATGTTCCTCGAACTCGACATTTATTCACAAAAATTCTGCAAACAACTCTTAAACAGCTCAAAGTTGAGGCGATTGAGTCAGTATCTATCTGTGGAATCAAAATGAATTTATGTATGAGTGTTCATTGTCCAGGCACAGATTTTAATATGCAGCGGCTGTATAGAGATCAGGAAATGAATCGGACCTTAGTCGTCATTAATCAACTTAAACATTTTCATTTAATGGACAATAGCTCGGAATTTATTAAAGTACTAGCTAAATGATAAGATCATTGGAGATGTAAGCTCCGAGACAGACGAGCTCATTAAAAAAAAAAATTATAAATGAAAAATAGCTAAAACTGTGCCACTATAGAGTTTATTTTGTTGTTAGTAAAAGAAAATCCCAATGAACTGGTTGCATACAAATTCTGCTGCACAGTTTTAACCTATAATGTCCCAGCATGTGGCTCCCTACTGCCGACAAACAATTTCTTGAACGATCCATTCTGTTACTTTGCTGTGCTTTTTAAAATCCCCGTGGTGCAATTTTGCAATCTATGTGATGTGTTTCCTTCACTCACACAGGCTTGTCAATTGACAAACTGACAAACCTACGTTCATATAAGGACACACACAATCAAGAAGCAAATCTGATTCTCAAATACAGTGTAAGAGCACTTTTAAACAGCGAATGTGCTCAAAATAAAATTAGCAACGTGCTTCTTCACAACCTGAAAGAGACCAAATTATCCTTGACAGTGTGTTTTCCTTTAGACTGAGATTGATGTCTTTAAAAAAAGCTTGGAGAAAATCTAAATGAACTATGACGGCACAGATGCTCTGGCAATGTCTAAATGTCACTACAATTACTGCTGCTTCTGATCACCGTGTCAGAACTGCTTCCAGGATGAGTACTGTCACATGTTAGTGGAGGAGACACCTCAAAGGGAGTAGGTAGCATTTGAAATCAGCTTTGGATCCACTCACCTTAATAAGATGCTTGGCAGGTTGGGTGTCCAAGCAAAACAGGTTATAAATTATAAACATATGTATGATCGTTCAGAATAATTGAGGTGTTTGCCTTTTATTCCTATTCTGTGGAATAGGTTTTAATTTATTTATAATTTCAGATCTCCTTATTTCCCCTTTG